TAAGGAGAGCTGAATATCTGGGAAAGGAGAAGTGAGAGCAGGAGCAAAACTTTGCTGAAAGAAAAACATTTTATTTTTGGTGCTAAAGAATAACAATAACAGGAAATTGCTCAGGGTCGAGCGTGTAAAATAAAATTTGGTTCTATGTGCCACAAATGCTTGGTGCAGCTCCCTAAGGCTGGATTAATATCCACGGCCAAAGTCGGCCAGATACATACGCCCCAGACCCCCCACCCCACACTGGCTGCCCTTTATCTGCGTTGCTCAGGGGGCCGTTGGCGGGTAGGCCGGCTGGGAAATAGCCGCTCGCCATCACCTGTTGCTGCAGTGACAGCGGCTTGGCTGAAGCTGGCACCCGCCGGTGTGGGAACGAGAGCGGCGGGGGAGGCGAAGGGATACGCATGTGTGTGGCGGCTCATAGCCTTTAGCTCAGCGGGTCAGGAGACGAAACGGCATCCCTCCCGCTTCGAACCAGGCAGAGGTGGAAAGTTCAGGCCCAGAAAGCACTAATCCAGACAAAGGTTTTGTTTCAAACAACCAGTTGAGTTTAAAGAGTCCTGGTCACAGAGTACTGAAATGGTTGACTGAAATGACTGCACACATGGTCATATGCTACAGGCAGTTTAGAAACACAGGCTAGAAACACAGGTTAGAAACACAGGTTAGCCTAACTGCTAGCTAATCGACCGCAGGAGGAACCTGGGCAAAAAGACACAAAGACTAATTTGTGAGCTGAACTCCCTCAGAACTATTTTTTCCTTGTCATCGTAGCGATGTCTTCTGTATTTTAGTATTTAAGTATTTCAGTTATGTTTTTATAGGCTCTGTTTATTCTGTGTACATATATATATTTGTATATAACGTCGCCTCAGAGAAAAAGCCAGAGAAAATTTTGTTGTTTTAATTACAATGACAAACAATATCTACCGACCTACATGTCTGTCTGTCTGTCTGTCTGTCTGTCTGTCTCTCTGTCTGTCTGTCTGTCTGTCTGCTGACTATCTGTCTAAATTGGGCCACCTGAGGGGAAAGGAGGAACACAGAAAGACTGCAATTACTAACCCTCTAAGGCAGGGGTGTCAGACTCCAGTCCTGGGGGGCCGGAACCCTGCGTATTTTTGGGTTTCCCCTCATTTAACACACCTGATTTAACTCCTTGTGCTAATTACCACACAGCTCTTGAGCTGAATCATTTGTGTGGGACAGGGAAAGAACTAAGCTACACAGGGCTCTGGCCCCCCAGGACTGGAGTTTGACACCCCTGCTCTAAGGTGACCCCCTACAAACCAACATGTATAACAAAATGAAGAGGGCAGTGCTGTATTCTCGTGCCTCTAGGATCATGGCTCCTAATCCCATGCCTGGCTCTGTATTATATGGACTTTTCATGCCCTCTTTGGGTTGCTCAGGTTTCCACCAGCAAGTCCAAAGACATGCAGTTGGATGAATCGGTGTCTCTCAGTCACCCGTGATTGTATGTGTGAGTATGTGTCCTGCAACGGGCTTCCATCCCATCCATGTTGCCATGCTTGCTAGGATCAAAGCTAAAGCTGGTATATCCTTCCAACTTGGCCTTATTTGCAAGCCCCATCACTAAACTGTTAATAATAGAGAACATTTAACACTGTACAGTATATGTGACATAGTAAGATGCTAAGGAGTAATTAGCAATGATAAGCAGACCACAGCTTCACAACTTTTCTACCCCAAACCAAAAAAGGAAAACAGAGAGAAGCCCCTTTTCAGGTCAACAAGAACAGAATCAGTACCAGACTTTGTCCTTCCCCTATGCTTCCACTTGATGACAGAGCACACCGAAATGTGATTGGACCTAACAAAACCATGTGACAACATGGTTGCGACAGGGGGTGTGGCCTAGACCCTTGTATAGATCAGTGCCATGGTGATACTTAAACATCAGTTGACTTTCACCTATAAGTATGATCATTTTATATTAAATCCTACAAGTCATTATTAAAGAAACCAATCCATGCAACTGCAGATGTTGAATCACTATGTGTGGAAGGAGCAAATGTTGAAAAAAAAGAAATAAATTCATGTTAAAGAAATATTCATTACTAAAGTTTCAACTGAGGATATTAACTCTGAAATTAAACACAGGTTATTGTAAGTTCAGCCAATAAAAACTTACATTCAACCAATGTTGTTATACCTTCTAATACAGCACTTTAACCTGATGTTTTATATTCCAGCTGGCTAATGAGGTGCCACATTGTTAAGGTCCTTAGAAGCAGTGGTGGGGGAATGAGGTTTCAAAACCCACAGTAGCAAGGATTATAATGTGATGTAATCAACTGCTTAAATCCCAAAAGACTTGATTGGTTCCTATAATGTTGAAGCTGATTCAACAGTATTTCCAACCAACATAGGGTGACCAGATAATCCATGTCAGGGAGGATACTCTGAGCTTGGACAGGTCCATTTCAATTAAAAGGACCTGGATTTCACCTGAGCACGGAGTTCTTGCTGTGTGCTGATTGGTCAGTCTCCTATAATCATGCATGTGTCACTAATGCTAATGTGAAACAGCTGGATGAGTCTTTCAGTCAAGGAAACAAACCAGTCAAAGCACAAGAAGAGCTGAACTATTTAGCCGAGCACAGGAGCCTTTCAGTTTGAAAGTAGTTTGTAAAATCCGAAGTAGCTCAAAGTGTCCTTCCTGACATGATTATCTGGTCACCCTAAACCAACGCCTTTGAAGCTTGGTTTCTCTTATCAACAATTAGTTGTTGCCAACTTATTTTACCACCCAATAAATCGACAAGCAGATGGAGGGAAACACCAATCACCTCTGAGACCTTAAGGAAAAAGACACTGCAGTCTCTGACTGAAGCCCATTGCTAAAATGCTGTGATTTACAGTTTCATCAGTCTCCCTCCTGCCTCAGTCTTGCCGGTATAAAGGCTAGGGTTCAAGTTAAAATATTTAGCCTGAGTTGTGCTTCGCCATATATCAAAATATACACTCTCCTTCCTTGTCAAGTCTCTGTCAACCTATCAGCACAGAGACATTAATCAGACAGTGGGCGCCCCCTGCAATCCCAACATTAATTCTTGATCCCTTTCTTTTCCCCACACTCAGTAATTCATGGTGATGGACAGTACAACTCAGGGCAGCTGTGGTGCAGCTATCGTCTAGAGCGACCTCTGAGTGTGAAGTATCAATGTTACTCGCTACATTCGACCAGGCTGTGATTGACAATGTGCAGGTTTGGAAGCGCCCATCAACAGCTGAGGGCTCCTGCCATAGGCTGAAAAGTAACCAATAGGAAGCTGGGTTGAATCAGGCAGCGCCTGACAACAGTTGGTTGCTCTTCCCACCCCAGATTTCAAAGCCTTATCATTCCTCTCTGGCCTGGAGGACAACACACTTCCTTGCTGGTTTCATTTACCAGATCATTTTCAAATGTGCTATGGGAAAGGATAACTTTGAACAATGCCTGAATAACAAATGAGCGGCATAAACCTAATTTTACATTTAAAATGTTTTTTAAAATAGCTAACAGAAAGATAAGGCTAAGCAGATGGATCATGGATGACATGTAAGATAAACTAAAAAGAGTGGTGCTAGCTCTTGATGGTTTAACCAAGAATGATAGTAATGCATAGCTTGGAAATACACACTTAATCTAATTAGACCTCTGCTATAAACAAGGAGGGAATTTAACAACCAAGCAAAACAAGCAAAAATAAAATGCTGCCCTACCCTCAGAGACTCACATGACCAGTTGCATAATATAGATTATGTGCTAATTGAGTGCCAGCTCAAAATAAATGACTTCATCCGTCCAGTGTGACTGAAGATGGCCGACACGGAACCGTGATGGCATCCTACAGGTAACAGGCCAACGTCTGCTTAATGCTTTTCCAGTATTTCAGGACAAACTGCCCACCATCATCGGCTTGTATGGAGGGCTCAGTGAGACTCTGGTCAGCAGTGACTGCCGCGGCACGGCAGGGACAAATATAAAGCAAACGAAGTGTCACAGAATGAAGGAAGTGGGTGGCATTTAACAACTGGCAAAACGTTGAGTTTCCTGTCATTCCTACAGTGCTGTAAGCACTAGAGGTTGGGGTTCATTGACCTTTGAGTGCTGATGGACAGGTGAGCTGAGCTCAGTGGGTTTTCGACAAGTACTCCACTAAAATAACCCAGATAGCGGAAACGGAATACGTCTCTGTCACACAACATTTAATCAAGGCCACATTTCATTTTAACCAGTGCACCTTGATTACATGTACATAAGTACCACTGAAATTCTTGTCCTGCATGTGAAATCAGTCACAGTCATATCTGCCCAAATATTCTTCTCCTCATACAATCTAATCTGTTCATCTCGTACAGGCTTCCTCGTCCCACATGTTAAAAAACACACGCATTACAAATCTGTCTCATTCTGCAATCTGTTGATGGCACAAAATGTGAAAAAAGCACAGCAGCTACTTATAGTGACATTTAGTGAAGAAGACCGCGTGTCTTTGGCTGTTCATAATGAATGTGCCAAGCAGGTTTTTCATAACAAGTCATTTAAAGTACAAGTAAACAATAAACGCTCCTTGCAGTATTTTTCCCATATTATTTTGAGTTGGATATCCAAGCCTTTAATGTTAACCTTGCAGGCGTTGAGTGTGAGAGCATTAATACCAACCCACAGCTCATGGGGTGGAGTTCAAGGTCTATTTTCTGTTATACTATTTGCAAAGAGAGGTTTCTAAAGAGAGCACGCCATTCCTCTTTTAAACGCTCCACATTTACTGGATACATCAGCTCCCTAGAGGCCTCCTCCAGATGTTAGAAGTACCATTTTATTCATCGCTTACAGTTTTAAGAGGCGTACATGACAACCCTATTTATCTTTTTGGGGAGGCCCACCAGTGCATGCTTTATCAAAATACAGCAGACTGAAAGTTCTATAGAGGAGGAGCCGCGATGTCCCAGGACCACAAGCACACTATACACTTCTTGACTCTGCAGCCTACCTTCCAGGATGACTTCCTTGCCCGTCTTCTTCAGGGCCTGGACGGCCTCGTCATGCGTGACGTCCCGCAGGTCGTTGCCATTAACAGAGAGGATGGCATCGCCCACGTACAGGGCCTCAGTCTGATCGGCCGCGAGCCCTTTGAAAATCTTGGAGATGAGAATGGGCATCTTGTTCTCCTTCCCTCCTGAAAAGACAACAGTTCCTTTCAAATAAAACCAATGAACGTTCCTAGAGTAACATGATTTTCAGTAATTTAAGGGCTTTAGATTTGGATGTTTGAAGTAAAGTTGTATTATGTAAAGAAAAAGCTCATTTCAAATAGCCAAGACTATCCATCCATCCATGCATCTTCCAACTGTTCATCCTGGTCACGAGGGTCCTGAAGACTGTCCCAGACAGCACAGGACACAAGGCAGGCACACACCCTGGGCAGGATACCAGTCCTTCGCAGTAGCTAAGACTACGATTTTTCTGAGTTCCTTTATATCAGATTAAACTAGATCAGTACTGTCAATATTTCTATACTAGGGAGGGTTTGCATAGTATTACTCCAAGTTATTAACCTATGTATTGACCTTAGGTCACATTATTGAATATATAAGTAAAAATTATTTATTTGCTGTGTTAAAATGAAATTTGTTTAAATGCTTTGGTTATGTATAGGTACTTGTGCAATGGAATGTTTTTTTCCCCACATATCCCATCTTGCTCTCTTTGGGGTCCCATCTTATGAAGCATGGGTCCGAGTGCAGTCCTGTCGAATATGAGAGTTACAGACTGCGACTGACAGGCATCCTGTCGAATATGAGAGTTACAGACTGCGACTGACAGGCATCCTGTCGAATATGAGAGTTACAGACTGCGACTGACAGGCATCCTGTCGAATATGAGAGTTACAGACTGCGACTGACAGGCATATATGTTGAATATGCACCCTGCCTACGGGTGAACGTTTCACAAGACCACGAGAACACTCCACCCTGACACTCACTGGATAAACTGCTTTATTTATCACGTCACTTAACAGGAAATATTACATGGAAATTTTCTGACAGTCAGTGCCAACTACCAGGGAGTGATGATGGTGATTATTATTTTAAGTAGCGTTATTTTTCAATGGTGGCTGTAGTAATCCATAATCAAAACAGTTGGTACCAATGGCACCTCAGAATCTGGACTCTGAATGGCAACATCTGTTAACTGTGTTACAAATTACTGAATGTTTTCTAAATTGAAAGGTGACCCCTTTCATCTTATGACCTCTGCCTACATATCTTCCTCTATCTCTTCCCTGACTGATACCAAGAGGAGATGACACACTGCATGCCAGGGTGATCACCCCAAAAATAAACATGACGAGGTTGGTCTTCTCCCATGAAACTGTGTGTGGAGATGGTCAGCACCCAAAGGATTCTGGGAGCAGCATGTCAGCTGTCCACATAAGGCAGCCAGCTGACGGCCTGATCTTCCCATTCACACCTAAGATACAGTTAATACTTAACTACTGTAAACTAAATTTACTGCATCCTGCTTTGAGTGTACCTGTTTACATATGTCCCACTATTCTAATATATAATAATAATGAATATATAATAAACTAATATATAATGAAATAATGAAAATAATCTCGCTGAAACCTAAACCTTAAACAAACATAATCCAGCTCGGCCGAAATGAAACGCAACAAAACTCCTGCAATTTAATGTTTTAATGATGTGATTTAAAGGTTTTGATTATAATTATACTGTACGTGTTTAAATGTAAATATGGCGTTTATTAATACTATGTTGTCTCTGTAATACGTCCGTTTTTTCTTGATTGCCAAACAGAAATTATTTTGATGATGGAGGAGAACACTGGCACTACGGCGGAGCGGTTTCGGCAGTTCGGGTGTAACGCGCGCTTCCTCCGGCTATGTGAGGAATGCAGCGCACACGGCAATCGGGACGATCATCGTAATATCGCCTCAACAAACTCTATGATAATACTTTTGCTTTGCCAAAAGTATTATCATAAAGCTCCAGACTGTGATCCAGAGGACACACAGAAAGAATGCAGATGTGGAGATCTGGGTGGGCGCAAATTCCAGCCGCCCCCATTCAGCCAGATAATACAAAAGGGGAAAACAGCAAAGCCATTTCCAGTACGCGTAGTTTTGTCTCAAGTTCTCCAGCTTCTTATTATGCAATTCAGTTCAAGGATGCAAATATTTATGCTCCATATCAAATGTCCCGTATAAAGATTATTATCACTATTCTAAGTTGTGTCTTCCGTCGTATGCACATGTGGGCAAGTTTGTCGCACTTAAAGTGGGCCTAGAGGAGCTTATAGCTATAACTTGATCAGACTGTCAATAACATTATTAAAAGATGCATCTTTCCAAATAACCTTTTTATTGCGGTTCATTGGTTAACGGTAAGCCTCTAAGTATTTAATGACAGCACGGCAAACCCTCTATACATAGCCTACTTTTTCCACTTATTCAAGGCATTCTGTTGTACCAAAAGCGATCGAATCGAAGCTTTTTCCCCCTGCGAATACTGACAGAATCGCTTTACGTGATTTTGGCTCTTTCGTTTCCAGCATTTACTTGTACCGCAGACATGAGGAACTACTCTGAATATGGCAGCAGCTGAAAAAGTTGCGATTAAACTTGTTGCAGACAGAAGCTATAAAAACTATTTTGTGTCAAGTGTTACGCACAGCCCTGAACGTGTTTTTGTTACAAAAAGATTGACAGAAGCATTTTAACGAAATTACGAATACCTGCGAAGGTCTTTCTGCATTAATCCATTTATTTGGAGAAAATAAAACTGTTGGCCGCGGACTAGGAAGGTTATGGGACGGGACGCAGAACCGCGCAGTAGCGCGTTAAACTCGTAACTTTTGTCGTAAATTGGATTTTTTAAAAAGTTATAATGTACCTTTAATGCTGATTCCCAGTCCTCCCACATCCTGCTTGACGACCCGCACGGTGCGCTTGACGTTCGTGATCGTTTCGGGGACAGGGGGATTGGAGCAGATGTTGGACGGATCTCCGTTCACTGCACCGGCCGGGCTGGTGCTCGGGGCGGCAGGCTCGACGGCTGTGTCCCCGGGACCCACAGTCAGCGCTTCTTCAGTCAGGCAGGCTAACACTCGCACCCAGCGCTCGGCAGAAACCCGGAGCTCAAGTAGCCCAGTCTTCTGCGCCTTCATGCCGGCGGCCATGTTCCGCACATTCCTGGAATAACTGTAGACGGGGTCGCAGCTCCGCGAAAGGATGGGACGCGAAAGGGAGGCCAGGAGACTCCCTCTTTCTCGCTCTGTGCGTGTTGCTCGTCAGTACCCACCTTCTCCACCCTCTCTCTCACTACGTCGCATTAAAATCCTTTTCCAGTGCTGTTATGATAATTAACCCGCTTTCTGGGAAATCACTAAGTAGTGTAACTTTAGTGTATTTCTTATTTTCCCCTCAGCCAATTACTGTCCGACCCCGTGTCAGATTGACAATGACAAATGGGAAAGTGTTAAATTTATCTAACTATAAATTTTCTAAATATATATAATAGGAGAAACCTTGCGGGCGAGATGATTACTTATTTGTGAGTGGGGTGTTGGAGAGAGTCTGCTACTTCATGAGAACCTGCCTGGTTCTCTGTCTTGCTATACTCGAGATGATGGGTGTGACTCGTTTGGAGGGACATTAATATAGTTGCGCTTGAAAGCCATCCGAAGTGTGAAGGAGCGGAAATTCCTAGGAGGTGAGGAATAACCTGAGAACAGGCTCTAAAGGGAAAAGACCTTGCTCCCAGTCAAGCAAGCTTTAAATGTGACTTTGCTGGGCATGACGCTGAGCAGCAGGTGGAAAAGCTCGATGTGGGTATATAAGTCTCTGGGATTCCTTTCCTCTGTTAGGACCCTTAAATAGTCTGCGTTAACCTGTGTCAAATGTTATTACATAGATTTTTTTTTAAAGGGGGGTGAGTATAGGGCTACAACTCAACTGGACAGAAAGTTGTCTATGAATATTTGAGTCAGGTCAGTGCATCATAAAGCATGTATAACATTAAATGATTTCAGGTAGGATACCCTTCTTATCAGCTTTTTAGCTGCGAGGACTGACCTAAACCAGGTACCTTGAATATTTGCCCTAGTGTCCCTGTTGGATTTCTATAGCACATTGAATCTCTGTCTCCTCCTTGTGGTGTTTGCAAAACACAACTCTTATATATATAAAACATTCTGTAAAAACCAGAGCTGCCCAATGTTGATCAGTCAGTTATGGCAATATTCACTGCAGGGACACCGCCCCCCCGTGACTGAAATATACAAAATGTACCTCATTGCTACCCCAGTAAAATCATTGGGTCTAGTCTGGCAACCTCATCGGACAAAATCTGGCTATGCCCCTGAAAATAAGTCAATGTTATACATCATTCTTACAACAAACATGGATATATGTGATGTTCATTTTCATAATTAAAAAACACCCATTCTTCCACTTTAACCCAGTTTGCAGGGTCAGTCCAGGATCACTGGGGGACTGGAGTCAGCTACAGGTAATATATCAGCATACATACAGTAATATTATTACTGCAAAGGTACCGTTGTAAATGTGTCAGACACAAAAGTTACATATATCAATAATACATCAATGTATCACAATTTTTTGCTGCCAGTGTAAAGAGTTATACTAACATGCATTTCAGCATGGATTTCAATTAAATTCTGAGTTTTCTAAGCTCAAAGTTACACCCACTGCAATTAGTTATGACCACAGCTTTGTGTGCTGAGGGACCATATGCTGTCTTTGGGTTGTATTTTCTCCAAATCCCTCAAAATGTCTAAAACCATGCTGTTGAGAAGAGTCGTTGCCTGGTTGGTGTCTTTGACATGCGAGTGCCCTGCGATGGATTGAAAGATTGGCAGGTGCATGATCATTGAAGTACAAGATGCATAAGAATCAAAATCACCATTTGCAAAGCATTTCAGCAAATTAGCTACTAGTAAGTGGAATGAAATTTCTATATTGTAACTCAAGCATATGGTATTCACTAAGGCTATCTGAAGATCAGTTGCTCATTGCAGCAAAAACAAAGAATCTGAATTATAATCGAGTTTATTGCCAAGTATGTTCACACATACAAGGAATTTGCTTTGGTGGTTGGTGCCAGACTTCGAGAAATGAGGTGGTTAATATATAAATATATATATACATAGAGTATGTACAGGTACTAATATAAATAGTCAGTGAATGTGGAATATGATACATCAGTGGAAATATATACATATTTAAGAGAGTGCATGCTTGTGCTAGGATAGGGAAATAGTATTTTAGTGAGTGTTCCTGGCCTTATTGATGAGGCAGGCCGCGGTGGGGAAGAAACTATTCCTATGGCATGATGTTTTGGTCCCAATGGACCGCAACCTTCTGCCAGAGGGGAGAGTCCGAAGGAGTTTGTGACCAGGGTGAGAGGAATCAGCCATAATCCTTCCTGCTCTTTTCAAAGACCTGGACTTGAACTGATCCTGTAAAGGTGGAAGGTTGCAGCCGATTGTCTTCCCAGCAGAGTGGATGATGCGCTGTATTCTGCTCTTGTCCTTAGCAGTGGCAGGAAGGTACCAGACGGTGATGGAGGTGGTGAGGATGGACTCAATGATGGCAGTGTAGAAGTGCACCATCATAGTCTTTGGCAGACTGAATTTCTTCAGCTGCCTCAGGAAGAACATTCTCTGTTGAGCTTTTTTAGTGAGAGAACAGATGTTTATCTCCCACTTAAGGTCCTTGCTGATCGTGGTGCCCAGGAAGCGGAAGTACTCCACAGCGGTAACTGGTGAGCCGAGCAGGAAGACGGGTAGAGGTGGGGCAGAGCTTTTCCTGAAGTCCACAATCATCTCCACTGTCTTCAGGGCGTTGAGCTCAAGGTTATTCCCATTGCACCAGGACACCAGGTGATCAATTTCCTGTCTGTAGGCAGACTCGTCCCCATCAAAGATGAGTCCAATGAGGGTGGTTTCATTTGCAAATTTCAGGAGCTTGACAGACAGGTGGGTGGAGGTGCAGCTGTTTGTGTAGAGGGAGAATAGGAGGGGAGAAAGGATGCAGCCTTGCGGCGATCTGGTGCTGATGGTCTGGGCGATAGAAATATGTTTCCCCATCTTCACATGTTGCTTCCTGTTGGTCAGGAAGTCTGTGATCCATCTGTAGGTGGAGTCGGGTACGTGTAGGTAGGAGAGCTTGTCGTGCAGGAGGTTTGGGATGATGGTGTTGAAGGCGGAGCTAAAATCCACAAAAAGGATTCTTACGTATGTTCCTGGGGAGTCAAGATGCTGGAGCATGAAGTGTAGGGCCATGTTGACAGCATCGTCTACAGATCTGTTGGCTCTGTAGGCAAACTGCATGGGGTAGTAGAAGGGTTTGCAATTTATGAAAAATGATTTCAGGTCGGAGGAGCAGTGCTGAAGAATCACAGACACATCAGTACACCAACCATTGTTTATGAAAAAGCATATTCCGCCGCCCTTTGATTTGCCGGAGAGTTCCACGTCGCGGTCTGCACGTAGAAGTTGGAAGCCCGCCAACTGCAGCAGGGGGTCCGGTATGAGTCCACACAGCCACGTCTCAGTGAAGCACAGGACGGAAGATGCGGAAAAGTCACGATTTCTCACCACCAGTAGCTGCAGTTCGTCCAGTTTGTTGCACAGTGATCGTATGTTGGAGAGGAATATCGCGGGGAGCGGTGTGCGGAGACCCCGCCGGCGTAGGCACACGAGCGCACTGGTGCGTTTGCTCCTCCTCTGGCGTCTCACAGCGTGAGATAAGGTAAGAGCACCTTCAACCAGAATGTCCAAGATTTCAACTGGAGATACCAGAAAAGTTGGTAATAAGCGGTCAAGAATATTGCTTACAAATAGATATCCATCCATTGTCAGTGTTGCAGAGGGTCCAGAGTGACTGACGTGTTCAAGACAGGGTGCAACCAAGGATGGGGTACCAACCCATCGCAGGGCACGTTCATATGGGGAAAACATGCAAACTCCACACACTGTACCACCATGCCACCCTTCAAGCAGACAGTAATGAGCATTTCATTCCCCATAAGGCAGGGGTGCAGATGTGACCCACTATGCCACTTTCAAGAACTTTATCTTATCCACTCCCAGAAACTTACCACCAAAGAGCTTTTGAGTACTTCAGTGACCTCATCCCTAGAGATGGGCAAATCCCCCTCTGAGTCTTCCAGCTCTACTTCCTCCAAGGCAAGTGGCATACAGGAGATCCTCGAAATATTCATTCCACCGTCTGATTATATCCCCATTTGAGGTAGACAGTTCTCCATCCCTGCTGTAATATAATATTGGTGAAGCCCTGCTTCCCCCTCCTGAATCGGTTAATGGTTTGCCAGAACCTTTTCGAGGTCGACCAAGCTAACCAAGCTCAGGAGGCCTCCTTCTTCAGCCTGACAGGGCCCATTACCACTGGCATCCACTAGCAGCTCCGCAATGTCGTCTCAGCAATGGTGTACCAGAACATGTCCCATTCGGACTCGATGTCCTTGACTTCCTCGGGATGCAATAGAAGTTCTGCTGGAGGTGTGAGTTAAAGATCTCCAGGTCAGGAGCCTCCACCAGACGCTCTCAGCACACCCTCACTATGTGTTCGGGTCTACCAGGTCTATCCAGCATCTTCAGTTCCAAAAACCAAATGACCTAACCCTAACCCTAACCCTCACTATGTGTTCGGGTCTACCAGGTCTATCCAGCATCTTCCCCCGCCATCTGATCCAACTCACCACAAAGTGGTGATCAGTTGACAGCTCAGCTCCTCTCTTAACCAAAACATGCGGAAGCAGATCCGACAATACAATTACAAAGTCGACCATCAGTTTTATTATATTACCATTTATTTCTGTAATAAACAAAAATATTTCATCTAACCTATAGCAGGTGTTATGGAGATGAGAATAAATGACAAAACTAATCAAAACTCATGCAAATAGATTGTTTATCGTGGGTTACATGCAATAAACTGAACATTGTATCTAGTTTTGTGTTCTTTGATTACTGGCTACCTGTTTGGTGAAAATAGTAAAAAATCATCAAGTTTAGCAACAAAGGGGTAATTTGAACAAAAGTTGGCCCTTGGTCACTCATTTCCTAAGGTATTGGGACAGCACTTCAACATCTAGAATCCCAAAAAACTTTGGGTGTGAAGGAGGGAGGGTGGGGTTTTGGGATGCAGCCATTCAGTTAGCGTCTCCTGGGACAGCTGGTTGCCAGTTGGGGCATATATTTTAATCAAAGCATAAAAGATAATATAAATGTGTTACTACAGTATGTCATTATGAGAGTATTACTAGTGCATTTTCAGTGTATTTGTATTATGCATGAACGTTATAATGTAAAAATGCTTACAAAATGTCTGCAAATAGCCTAATGAGACCAAAAAAATACATTAAAAACTTTATTTCATATGGCCTAAATATCTTTCTTCCATCACTAAAATTTGCTTTTTAAAAACCTAACTTTCTTAGTTATGATGAGAAATAAAACCATGTTTCTATACAGTTCTTCCAACATGAAATGCATGTCGAAAAAACACGTTTACAGTGTTGCTTTTAAAGTAAATTAAGCATTTGCAATTTT